TGCAACCTTAATCAAAACTGCAACCTCTCTGGGCCTCAATTTTTTCATGTGTTAATGAATGGTTGAACAAAATCAGCGGTATTCAAACTGTGTTCATTGGGGTTCTAGGAGGCTAACCCAGGTGCCCCACTGCGTACTGGGGGAGAAGGACAGGCAGGCTCCGACACCACTACAACAGAGCATCCCTGTAAAAGTCCTTTCTACATGAGGCTTTGGCACATCTGCCTACTTGGAAAAAAGGTTCTTTGATTCAAACATTTAAACACTGAATCAGAACATTTCTGCTCTAAGACTCTATGTCTATATCCAGCTCTTCTCCCCAATTCCAAGCCCCTTTCTAATTGCAACTACTGAGATACACAAAATAGAAGATTCTGGAGTGTTACCTAAATCCACTTAAATTATTGTCATCATCATCATCATCATCACCCAACTGGGATTCCTTGGGGAAGATTTATACCGAAAAAGCTCATAGGACCAGAGGCTCATGGACTCAATGTGAACACAGGTGTGTGAAGTTTGGCCCACACAGCTTTTTAAAAACTTTTTGACATTTACTTATTTTGTTCTATTCTTTTTCATTTTAAAGTGTGTATGGTTTTATTAATTAACGTCTCTCCAATAAAGTCAACTAAAAAATAAAATAACATCAAGAAGAAACAGAACAAGATACAAAGATTCTCCATTGTAGACCTATGAATACTCGCAGGTTAGATTTAAGGGTCCCCGGCCTCAAATATGTTTCCAGGTCCTCCCAGTCCTCTGTCCCGCCCAAAAAAGCAGATTAATAAAAAACACAAACAAAACAAAAAAATAATTACTGTATCAGCATTCCAAAATTTTAAGGTACCCATCAACATTCAGATATCTTCTTCTCAGGAAAGAAAAAAAAAAAAAAGAAAGCATAAAGAAGGAAGCCTGGCAGTCCATCCTGCCTCCCAGCTGACAGCCTCTAGCTGGGTGTATTCTCCACCAGGGCCTGGTCTATCGCTGACTCTCCTTCCCCACCTGCTGGACCTGCCCGGCCACTGCACAGCCCCACAGCACATGTTAAATCAGGGCTGTGGGAAGGAAGGCTTCATGCCTCTGGGTTGAGGCAAGACTTGGATTCGAATCCTGCCTGTGTCACGAACTAGGAGCATTGACCTTGAACAAGTTGTTTAATCTCCCTGAGCCTGTTTCCTCCTCTGTTGCTGTGGATTTCTTAAAGGAAAACAATAGCTAAGTCAATTCTCGTGATTCACAGTATAATGTTCTACCCAACCACGCGAACCCTGAATGAGTGAGTACTGAACCTGTTCCCACCGGTTCCTGGGAGTCTCTGGTCACATTTTGTCAGCTCATTAAGACGTAAAGACGCCTCGTGTAATACACTCAGAGCCAACAGCACCATACCTGGGCCCGAATGACCCTTGTGTGCCACTCGAATATTCCCCATGAGGCCCAAGTGCAGCATTGCACTTGGGAACACTAGACAGCACTTCAGCACTCCATTTTGGGGCCATTTCAAATGGCGAAATCGCCACCGAAGCGCAGAAAACAGAACACCATGGCACTCAGTGGCCCATGAAGAGGACGCTGGTTGGTGAGAACTGAAACACAGCTGGGGTCAAAGGCCTTGTTCAACCTCAGCTGCAAATGTGCACATCAGGCGACTCCAGTATCTCCCACTCTGGGCACGTCCATGACAGGCCACGGGCACTGATTTGGGGGTCACCGGCACATTTCAGCCAGGAGGTGAATTCACAAATGGGAATGCATGGATGCTGAGGACCAAGCCTCTCTCCCTCACAAGATCACTGGTGTTAGAGGATGCAGGTGCCCCTGCCCAACAGTCATCAGCATCATAACTGTGGGAGGGAACGTTGTCCAAACCTAGACAATGCCCCATCCCAGCTGCCGAGTTATTTGTTCCAGCCACCAGCTGGAGTCCCCTTTACCTCGTTACCCACCAGCTGCGTCCAGGGCAGGGTTGGTAAAAATGCACCATCACCAGGGGTCTCACTTGAGCTCAGCTCAGCGGGTGCTGAGTGAGTGGGTCAGACTGACATCCCAGCAGAGGCCTTGCAGGGGGCCTGGCGGTTACCTGTCCAGCTCTCGCTGCAGCCTCTGGTTCTCCTCTGCAGCCATGGCGCTCGTCCTCTGCTCCTGCTGCAGAGCCTCCTGCTCTGTGGTCAAGAGCATCCCCAGCTGATCCAGCGCCACCTTATGTTGGATCTGGTCCTTGTAGCTGTTGAAGGGAAACATACCCACTAGGAATGGGCACCCAGGGAGACCTCAAAGCCTTGGTGAGCAGCTTCTCTCTGCAAGCTGAGAGAGAATGAGATGGACAGGGGATGGGGCTGGACAGAGAGAGGGATAGACACTGGGCCAGCTCGGGGGGTCTCCTGCAGCCCAGAAGCCAAGCCCTCTGCTCCCACTCGACATGTCTCCATGGTCCCTTCCATCCCTGTCAAAGCAGCCTCCCTCCTACATCCCACTGGGAACAAAACCACTGTCCTCTGGACTCCACACCCTTCTCAAAGAAACCACTGCACATACAGCATAATTCCACAGCCAATAACAGCTGATGCCCCTCACCGGGCCCTGGGTGAGCCCTCCGCCCCAGCTCAGGAACAGCAGTCTCTCTGCTCTGAGCCAGGCAGCTTGGGGGCCAGAGGCTTTCCTGGTGAGGCCCAAGCAGCCATAATGGGCAGCTGCACACCCTGCTCCTCAAGGCACCCCCAGTCCAGCCCTTGCCCTCACCCTCCCTCAGCCTCCCCCTCAGCTCGGGCTTTTATTTCCTTCCTGTCTCAGTCTGCAGAGGGTCCCACACAGCCTCTCTGGAGGGCAGAAGAGCACAAGAGGGAGCCCCTGACCAGCTCTAGGCTGTTCCTCCTCCTGCAGGAACCTTCCCTGTTCAGGTGACTCAGGGGCCTTCCCAGGTCCAAGGTGGAGACTGAGTCATCACCTTTCAATCTTCCCCAGGCAGGCAAATGCCTTTCCAGACCTCCTTCCTGAGGTGTCCACACCCAGAGACAGACTGACAGAGACCAACCAGGTTCCATGGTTTCAGCCCCTGCCCTCAGCCCTCCATCCCGCCCCCCACCATCCCATATCAGCTGTATTTGTACCATCTGCCTGGAGCCAAGACTTGTGCAGACTCAGACGCAGACTCAGATACCTTCTGGGCAGCTGTTGGAAAACAAACTTTCCTTCCTGTGGCCTTTAGCCACAAGTGGAGGCTGCCCAGACATGGGAAATGGAAGGTGGGGATGATGGCTCTGCTGGGCTTTCAGGGTGGCGATCTTTCTCATCCAGGTTTGACAAACAGGGCTATGGACCATTAGGGTCCCCACCTCCTGCTTCCCTGTTGTGTCTTGGAAAAGCACAGGATCAAGCATATCGCAACCATTAGTAACCACCCTCCTGCAGGGCAGAAACTGAGAGTCCTACTCCCCACTGAATCCTGGGTACGAGGCTGGACACCCAGTACATGTGCACCAGGGGAACAAAGGAGTGAGTGTCCCAGTCATGTGTCAGGTGAAATGAATACAGAGCTCCTGGCCTGTGTTCCAGGCACCTCCACCTCCAACCTGCATCCTTGCTGCAGACACACCAAGGGCCTCCAGCTATCTGTCCAACCAGCAAAAACCATTGAGTCACACAGTAGGTCCATCAAGCAAGGAGTCACAGGCAGTACAATGAACTCCTCCCTCAGAGCAGTCAAATGCCACCTGCACAAACCTTCCCATGTGAACAGACATAAGAATATATCCACACGGTTATCATAGGGCATTGAGGGTAAGGCCCGCAGCGCCTGGTGCGGGGTGGGCACCACAGGAGGCTCCCATCAGTAGTCAGCTGGGTGCATTCCCACCATGTTAGACAGCACCACGCGACCAGTGGGTGCTCACTAAGCATGTCGTGAACACAGGATGGGTGCGGAGGAGGCAGAGAAGGAGATGCCAAGAGGCAGAAGATACTCATTCTGGTGGGAAGAAACGAGAGTCTGATAGGAGCAGACGTCCCGGCACCCCCAAAGGAAGGGAATCTGGGTGGAGAAAGGGGTGGAAGGCTCTGCAGAGAGTCCACAGGAAGCACTGGGTGAGTGTTTAAATGAACATCATCACCCCCAAGTTCATGCAGCAGCAGGAGCCCTCCACAGGCTCTGCAGGCTCAGCACCCTCCCTGGTCCAGGTGATGCCAAATCCCTGCACCTCACCTGCTCCTAGGGAAACCCCAGCCTTTGCCTATCATTTGCTGAGGCAGAGGCAAGGGAAGACCTCAGCAGGTATAACTCACAAGCACAGAAAGTGGACAGCTCCCTCTTGCACTGCTCCAAGTGTGGGAGAGCCTCTCTTTAGCGCATCTCTCCCCTCCCCCCCCACACCTTGGAGTTCTCTGTACATCTCACTTTCCCCAGGCTCTGGGTCCCACTGCACCTGCTGGGGCCATTGCAATCAGGGATCTGCCTGGCTGGAGCTCAGCTGAAGTTGGCTGACTTACATGCACACAAAGCCCTGATTTTGAAAACATGCAAAGTTAAGATTTATGCATTTAAGGTACATCAATTTTACCTTTAGAAAGGTATATGGAGAGTCAGAGGTAAAGGTGACATGAGAATGGCAGAGGATTGGTAATGCTGCTGCAGGTGATGGGAACACGGGGTTTTCACTATACTATTCTGTACACGTCCATATATTCAATACTTTCCAAAATTAAAAGTAAAAAAAGAAAATCAGAAGCCCAGACTTGGAGACTTGGACAGGGAAAAGGCCTGGGGAGCTGGGTAAGGCACGCCCCTGAAAATCGGCAGCTGTGGTGACTTCCCCTCCTTGTCCTTGGTTTGGAGAGAAAAGGAAGAGGGGGTAGGAATGCCCAGGGGAGCTGGGACGCCAATGCTGACACCTGGTTTCCCTGAGCCGGGATTAGTGGGCACACCCTTCTCCCCTGGGGGACCCTCCTGCCCCTCAGTCTCTAGCCGCACCAACTCCACATTGCTGAGAGTGATGGTGGATTTACTTCTCTTCACTGTGAAGCAGCGGGACAGAGGAAACATGAGGGACCAGAGTGAAGGGGGGACAGGAGCCCGGGGAGCCCGTCAGTCACCCCCAGCCGCAGGCACCCACCTGTCACTGAGAGCCTTGCTCACCAGCTCCAGGGTCCGACGCAGCAGTGTCTTATGGCGGCGGTACTTGTCCAGAAGGGCCTTGTGCTCCTTAGTCAGGTGCTCGTAGAGTGCGCCTAGGCTCGCGTGTTCCTGCTGCAGGGCCTGGTGGGCTGCCACCAGCTGCTGGTGCTGGAGCTGAGTGTCCTGCTCTGTGAGCGCAGTGTGCGAGGCGCTCTGGGAGCTCAGAGTGGAATTTTCCACCTGCTGGAGGGAGAAGGAAATGACGCCTCATCAGGTGCAGGTCCAGGGGGACCACAGACTCCGGATCCCCAGGTCCCCACACGCAGTGAGGGACCAACAGTGGGTCAAGTGCAGACACCAAAATAGCAGGACCCTCAGGAGAGGCAACACCCAGCCGTGCTGAGGACAGTTCTACCTGCACTCAAGGAACTGCTCTGGGAAGGCCCACAGCAGAAACGGACTGTCCCATGGGCCTAAGCTTAGTCCTGGGCCCCTCCCTGCACATGTGACCTTTCTTGGCAATTTTTGCCCTTTCTCTGGATAACCTCCTTGTGTACCCTCTCTGAATACTTTGAAAAGTGCATGGAAATTCAGTAAGGACACAGAGAACCTGAACAGCACTACCAACCCATTTCACCGATATTTACACAATACCCATCCAACCGCATTCAAAGCACCAGAGAGTTGACCGGGGAGGAACCGTCCTGACTCATTCTGAGGCCAGAATTACCCTGGTGTCCAGCTGCTTGTCCCGCTCCAGACGCTCAGGCTTCAGGGTGTCCAGAGACGTCTGCAGCCTCTGGTTCTCCAGCAACAGGTCCTGGCTTTCCCACTCCAGGGCGTGGACCCTCTCAGGGGCCGTCGTCAGGGCGCTGACCTCCATGGCCAGCTTCTCGATCTCCTCCTGCAGCCGATGCAGCTCCTGCTCCAGCTCCTGTGCCCGCACCACGTGCTCCTTCACCCGCACCTTCATGTGCTCCAGCTCCTGTGCCTGCACCGCCTGCGCCTTCACCTGCTCCAGGTCCCGGCACAGCTGCCGCCGCTCCCACTCCATCATGGTCACTTTCCTTTTGGTGTCCGTCACCGTCTGGAGGAGGACTTTTTGCTCAGTCTTCCTGCCCTTCATGCGGGCCTTGCTGCTGGTCTGTGAACTATCCCGCAGTGAATGCACCACTTTTTTCAGATCCTTGAACTGCAGGAAAACACAATGGAAACAACACAGGCATGATTTCGGTCCAAATGGAGGCCCAAAGTGTAGGCCTGGAATGTCCATCTCATCATGGACCCAAAGGACTTCCTAACATTTCCCAAAGGCCTGATATGGACACAAGGTGAAGGGCATGGAGATCCCCACCCAGACAGTTCAAGTCTAAACACTTTCACAGAAGCCAGATGACATAGAAACAGAAACTGCATCTTCTCCTAAAACAATGTAAGTGATTTCCTTGGTGCTTTTTACCCTGGTCCACAGTGGTGCGAGAGCTGACCGCCCACCCCTGTGGCCGCTCCTCACACCACTCCCCCCTGCAGACATTGCACATGATCTTCCCTCTGCTGTGAATGCTCACCTGCCTCCACCCCCAGCCTCCAGCTTCTCTGGCTCCTTCTCATCATCCAGGGCTCAGTGTGATTGACAGCTCCTCAGGGAAGCCCTGCACCACGATTCTAAATGTCCTGCACCTAATAAGACTCTCCCTGGACCCACGTATATTCCCTCAATAGCACACATCTCAAGTCACCTGGCTTGTCACCTGTCGTTCCACCTCCTAGACTGGAAGCCATATTGGGGGAGGGTGGATGCATGCCTCTTAAGTCTACACAGCACCACCCCAAGCCCCTTTTCTGCAATACTAGAGAGGCTGAAGAACTCAAGTACCTGATACCCAGCCTCCCTTGCAGCTAGGGTTAGTCATGTGTCCGGCATGGCCAATGAGATGTACACAGAGGATCCCAGGAGGCCTTCCGTCTGTCTCTTCACCATCCACATTCTTCCTGCCCACTTCTTGGCGAGGTACAACAGCCACGGCCAAGACTGGCAGAGCAGGAAGGGAGAAGCCTGGTTTCTGGGTGGTGTCCCTGAGCCGCTGCCCCAGCACTGGGCTGCCTACCCTAGGACTTCCTGTAATGTGGGGGTGGATTAACCCTGGAGGTTCTCCAGAGCTCTGAGTGGGAAGCAGGACATCTGAAGGGGGATCTTTGTCCTGCAGGCTGTCCCATGAGCTGCAGGACATTTAGCAGCATCCTGGCCTCTCCCACCACAGCCAGGAGCACCTCCCCTCTCCTCCCCCAAGTCATGACGATCATAAACAAGATGGCCAGTGCTGCCCAGCCAGTGTGGGTCAATGGTTGAGCATCAACCTATGAACCAGGAGGTCACGGTTTGATTACTGATAAGGGCACATGTTTAGGTTGCTGGTTCGATCCCAGTAGGTGGCATGCAGGAAGAAGCTGATCAATGAGTCTCTCTCATCATTGATGTTTTTATCCCTCTCTCCTTCTCCCTTCCCCTCTGAAATAAATAAATAAATAGATTGAAAAAACAAAAAGATTGCCAGTGTCCCTAGGAAGCAATATCTGTCCCCGTGCCCCTGCTGTGGCTGTAATTGCTGTTCTGACTGCATCTGAGGGAAGAAACTGGTAACCCGAGAATCACTGCTGGATTCCCAGGACATCCTATGATCCTGGACTCACACTCTTGCAGGCCGGGGAGCCAGGGGAGGCATGGGGCTGGAGGGCCTACCTCCTGGGCTTTCTCAGCCTTCAGGGTCTTCTTGTCACGGATCAGCTGTTCTCTCTCCTCCACCAGCTCCTCACAGAGAGTCTCCAGAACCTGGCTGGTCTGCTTTTCTCTTTCCATCTGAACTCGCAAGTCTTCAATCTGCGGAACCAAAGAAGCAGCCCATGCAAAAGTCCGTTTCAGGGAGTGAACTGTGTTTTAAAGCAAACCCGAAACCTGTCAGCCCCAGGGAACACTTTATCAGCCTTTTCTCAAGGGAAAACCTTCCGTCCCACTTCTTGGGGAGGTACATCAGCCACTGCCAAGACTGCAAAGCAGGAGGGGAGAAGCCTGGCTCCTGGGTGGCGTCCCTGAGCTGCTGCCGAGGTCAGGCCTAGTTGTGCAGTGAGCTCCCCATACCCTTGACCATCACCTCTCAGCACACAGCGTACACTTCCAGCTCATGATAGAGAAAAAGGCCATGGACACCAATAGGTCAGCTTTCCTCCCAGCTTTCCACTGCTACTCTCAATGCTTCCATCTTAGGCCGTGTCCACTACTGTCCTGAGGGTCAGGCCACATTCCTGGGGCCAGCAGGCACCACTGGATGTCCTACAGGGACTTCACCCAGTTGGTGACATTCCTATTCATCCAGCTGCTCTGAGGGGTCCTCTGCCATCTCTCTCCCTCCTCTCCCCTCCAAGTAAATGGACCACCAAGGACTGTGCTCCTTCCCCATGCGGCTCCCCCTCCACAACCCACTGCTGCCCAGGCCAGACCAGTTCTGTCCTGCCTGGACGACTGCCCAATCAGCGGCCCATCACAGACCTCTTCTGCGGGACCCACCAGTGCCCACTCCCTGAACATGAACTGCCTGGACCCACACATCTCACACTCTGTGCCTGACACCTGAACACCGTGATGGATCCAGATTCAGACTCAGGGTGGGCCCTGAGGTGCGACTCCCAGGCGAGGCCCATGGTGCTGTCCCTTCCCACTGACACCAAACTCATGACCACCTGTGAGGGGGAGAGTGTGGCTCCCTGCTAACAATGTGACCTCGAGTGCATTTCCGTAACTGACAGGGCCAGCAAGCAGCAGGCATGGGAGCCAGCTTCTGTCAGGGTGACGTGCTCAGCTCACACCTGACAGGTGGCAGGTGCAACAAGAGCTGACCCCTTCTGAGAGCACCAGGCCCCTCCCATCCTCACAGCTTCTGACGTGGTCAGTCTGGGCTGGGGCCCAAGAGCCTGCATTTGGACTTGTGACCCTGATGCTGGTTTGGGTTGACGGCTCTAAAGCTAAAACAGAGGAGCCCCACGATCCAGATCAGGTGGCTCTCAGAGCATTAAACCCCCCAGACCTCAGGCCACCGACAAGAACCTCTGGGGGCAGGACCTTCAGACACCCAGTGACCCAGTGAGCAGAAAGGACCAAGAGCCGGCTCCATTCACCTGGCTGGGAGCAGCCTGACACAGGCAGGTTTACAAACTCCAGGAAGGATCGCTGCTCTAATGCCAGCTCTGCCTACTTCTCCTGGGCCGAGGCCGCCCTGCCTTTATCTCATGGGTCTGGGCACAGTCTCCAGACTCCTCGGAAGCAGCAGGCAGGCAGCTTCTTCCCCATGAGGGGGAGGGTCAGGCACAGTGGGGCTCATATCCGTGCCCTCACAGCACCCTGTGGGCACACCCAGCCCCCTGCCCCAACATGGGGACAGGGCAGCCCCACCAGCCAGGGCCAACAGCAAAAGGCGCTGCAAGGTGCCACCTGTCTGAGTCTTTCTCACAAGTGAGAACATCTTTCTTCTCCTTCCTTATCGCTGCCCCACTTCCTAGCACCAGGTCTGGGCTCAGCAGGAAGCAGGCATCTGCCCTGATGGCCGTGCCTTCTCTGGAGCTGGCCCTGAGGAGGAAGGCCCTGCACAGCTGTCACTCACCCTCATTCAGAGAAGGGCACCGGCCCAGGGAGTCCAGTGATCTTCCCAGAGCCCCACAGTGAGGATGGGGCAGAGTCGAACACATGGCAGTGGGCCGACCCCAGGCCTGCTCTCTCACACAAGGTCTGGGGTGTGTCCCCCCGCCAACCTCCTGCCTTGTTCACCCTCCCCGTCATCCTTCTCCCCTGCCACTCCGTCTGTCCCAGTGAAAGGAATTTTATGTCATGTCCAACCTTTGCATATCTGGCGTGGCTGCTTCTGGTCTGAAGATGTGACTGCCTCATGTCCCCCCCACCCCCCGTCTGCTCCTTTTTGCTTTTTGCTGTGGAAATGGAACTCTCACTCCTGTGAAGGCCCTCCCTTCCCCTAGGGCAGCGGTTCTCAACCTGTGAGCCAGGAACAATGAAAATACATCCTGCATATCAGATATTTACATTACAATTCATAACAGTAGCAAAATTACAGTTATGAAGTAGCAACCAAAATAATTTTATGATCGGGGGTCACCACAACACAAGGTACTGTATTAAAGGGTCGCGGCATTAGGAAGGTTGAGAACCACTCTGAGAGATTGCTGGGCTGAGATGGGTTTCCTGTCTTCCTCAAAGCACCAGCCTTGGACCGCGGACTCCTGTGGGGAGGCTCCAGGTCCCCAGAGCACGCGGGTGCCAGGGGCCTGCCAATCAGCCCCTGTGCTGCGCTTTTGTGCCCACGATAGGCCCCAAAGGGCTGCCCCTCTTCCTAAGAGGAATGAACTCTGAGGATGTCAGTGCAAAGTGAGGGTGGGGGGCGCACCCTCTCTAAGGTCCACAGAAGGGTCGTGAGTTACAGGGAAGGACGTGAACTTCGGGAACTAAGGTTTACACAGACCGAAGGGAGCCTACAGCCTGGGAGACACTGGGTGGTGGGAGAGCCGAGCTGGCACCGGGGGGCCTGGGACTCTGGGCCACCTGTCCTGGCTGACCCTTGTCTCTCCTTCTCAGACACCTCCCAGAGGGCCATGTTGTCTGGACGTGTCCACGGCTGGGCCTGTCCTGGCTCCAGGGAGGTCAATGTCAGGCCATGTCCCCTGTGGTTTTTAGCTGATGGCCCAGATGCACCATCGATCCAACATTAGGGAGGACCCATGATGCAGCCAGGCCTCCAGCTGGCAGAGCAGGACAGGGATGAGAGCAGAAGGGCCGCCTTCGCAGGGCTCCTGGCAGCAGACAAGGGAGAGTGCTGGACTGCAAACTGCAGCCCCTTCCTCCCACTAGGGGCTCAGATCCAAGACAGGTCTTTGAGGGATGTGGCAGGACTGCCCAGGGGTCCTACAGCGAACTGATCAGGAGAGGAAGCAGGGGATGGGACCCGAGAGACAGGGCTAAGGAGTCATGTGGGGAGGCGGCACCACCACCTGTCCTGTGTGTGTGGAGGAGGGACCAGAGTGGACCCCAAGGACAGAAGCATCAGGGGTCATCTCTCATCCCTGCCGAGAGCTGGGCCAGAGGCTACAGCGCAGGCCTCTGCAGCTCACCCCTGGGGAACCGCCCCGTTGGAGGTTCGCATCTTTCTAAAGGTCAAGGCTTTCTATCTCAGCCGAGGTCGGGCTGCCATATACAGAGACATTCACTGTGCCCAGACCATGTGAATCTAAAACCCAGACTGTCTGGTGGCTTTCCCTGAGCTGAGCTGCACAGAGAGACGTGGCATGAGGAGGGCCTTCCTCCCGGCCCCCAGGGAGAGGACACACTGCTTGGCAGCTGCTCTGCTGCGAGGCGCACGGAGCCTCAAAGGACGAGAAGCGTGAGTCACTGAACCTTGGACGTCTCATGAGAGGCCTGGAGAAACCACTGCACAGGAGGAGGGGCGGTCCCAAGCCTCACCCAGAGATGAAGTTCCAGCAGAGCCGTGACCAGCGGGACCCTGGTCTCTGGTCTGCAGCCCACATCCCTGCCATCGCCGGGGCAGCCTCAGCAAATGACACTGGCAGGACCCCTGGGCCGGACGGGACAGACACCCAGACACCTGAAAGCACCAGTCCTGCCAGGTGGTCAGCAAGCAGGAGTGCCCTTGCGCCTCCCTCATCCGGAATCCGGGCACCCGTCATGGTGTGCTCAGAGCCCACGACGCAGCAGTGTCACCCGTGGTGGCTACATGGACTGAGGCCCTCTGACCCAGAATGACCTGCTCAGGGAGGCTGTCGCTAGCCTCTCAGGGCCCTTCTTGCCATGTGAATGGGGTCCTGGTAACTGTAGGATGAACCTGGCTGGTGAGCCTGCCTGTCCTCCCAGATCTCTGTTCTACTGCGCTACTGGGAAGACCTGGTTTGTCCAGAAAGGCAATGCCGTCCAGCCATCTCTTCTTCCTCATGCCCTCGACCGAAAGGAGAGAGTGAGCACTGCCTCCTGTCACCAGCAGCCATGCCCTGAAACGGCCCAGCCACGGTCTCCACACGGGCCGAGTCTTCCATCGCTGCTTCTCTCCCGGGCCCGCCCGGTGGTTTCTAACAGGGCGCTGCTCTCCTTCCATGAGGCACTTACAGGCTGGACCCTTTGCCTGCACTAACTCACACCATCCTCACCACACCTACTGGTGGGTGCATCATTAACCCCATTTCACAGATGAAGGCAGCGAGGCCCACAGAGATCCATCGTGTGTGGTCTCACTGCTGCAGGGACGCCTCCTGCTGCCTCATGACGCCTCTCTAGAAGGCCTCCTGTCCCCCTACCAAAACGGTGGCTGCACGGGACTCGGCCTTTCTCCAGCTGCGCATGCTCATGGACACCTTGGTGCTCCCCCTGGCCACTTACATGCCCGTATGTTCCGGACACCACCCACGGGTACCTGCTTTCTGAGCTGCTGGTTCTCCTCTTCCAGCTCCTGGCGCTGGAGGCTGCTCTCCTGCAGGGCCAGGGAGGCGTCCCGCAGCCCCTGGATGGTGCCCTGGAGGCTCTGCTTCTCCTGGTCCAGCTTCAGGAAGCAGCTGGAGGCTGAAGAGCAAAGTGGAGTCAGAGCCCATATTCCAGGGGCCTCAGCTTCTGCTCTCTGCCCCCGGCCCTGAGACGGCCATCACCCTGAGCCCTAGGCTTGAGGGTCTGGGATGGTCAGCTGGGTGCCCTCCCTTTTCCCCAGGGTGCTGTTGCTGTCTGCACCTGAGGGTTCCTCGGGCGGTTATGGCCCCTCTGCTGGCTCAGCTGGGTTTGTCAGGGGAGCAAGCAGAGCTTAAGAAGAAAGCAGGTGATGGTAGAGAGAAGCCAATGCAAACGTTCAAGACAGTGGAATTGCTGGCACCACTTTCTGCCAAGTTTTAACCTGACCGTCAAGCCAAGGATTTCAGAGACTAACGGAGATGGCAGAGTGCGCTCTCTGTGCCAGCCTCAGAGTGGTGTGAATGCCGGTGGCTCAGCCGAGGGTGTAGGGGGACACGATCATTGACCGCATGTCTGTGGGTGGAAGAGGCTATGGGGCACATATGCCCAGTACTCGCCATCTCTGGGTAAGTTCCTTCAGTCAGAGATTTCATTTTATACTTTCACAAATGCATTGAAAGAGAATGAGACAGTTTATCCAGACTGCTTTAAAAATTCTAAGCGAGATGAAAACATAAGGTAAAGCCAGAAAAAGGCAATGTCCTTTGCTTTTAAACAGCTTCAATGCGGAACAGAAAGGGAGCACAGACCTGAGAAGAATGGGAGTTCGAGGCCCCTCCCTGCCGCCAGCAGGTGCGTGACTTTGGGAAAGTCCCGGGGCTTGTTCAGGAGGAAAACATGACTGTCTGAGGGCTCAGGGTTGTTCCCTCACCTGCCCCTCCAGGCCACACACTCAGCTCTGGGAGCCTTATCGCACTGTACTGCTAGTAGGGCTGCTCACGAGCACCCCAAGAAGCAGAGCAGTGGGTATCTTTGGATAAGACAAGGGCGAGAAGAACAGCCATCCTTTGTTGCCGCCCCGTGGGCCAGGCACAGCCTAACGCTTCACTGTCTCCTCTCACAAGATACCCATAGCAATCCTGTGAGGCAGCTTCATCACCCCCATTTTTCAGATAAGTAAACTGAGGTGCAGAAGAGGTCACTTGGCTAACAAGTAGAGGAGCCAGGACTTTAAACCAGGCCTTTCTGACTCAAGAAGCCACCACCCCAACCACAAAAAGTACGTTCATGCTTTGTTCGTGAGCTGCCAGCTAAGCAGTAGGAGTTGGGAACATGAAGAAGAAGTCAGTCATCGACCTGAAAGGGCTCACAAGCTACACTGAGCATCTGAATCAGGGAGGCTTTCCAACCCCATCAGCCACCCTGGTTGCTAACAGAAGCACATTTGGTCTGAGCCAGTCCCTGCCAGTGGCACCACTTCTGTGTCCCACCAGGGGCAGTGTGCTCCCCAGGAACCTCAACTCCCAGAGCCTGGGTTCCCAGGAGTGGGGAGACACCAAACCACAGAAAGAACTAACTTCTCACACAGACTCCTAGTTCAATGAACTGATTTTAGGTTTGGAGCGGATGGGGCGCCTTGAAGAGAAGGAATACCCAGCTGCTTTCCACAGCCTTTCCATGATGCTGAGCAATGTTGCTCAGAATTAAAAAGAAGCCCCTCCCCAAACCAGCCTAAGGCCCTCCTGGCTCAGCAGAGCTCTAAGCAAACCCTAACCTGCGTTCTCAGGTGCACGTGTGCTATTATTGGACACCGGAACTGGCTTGTTGTTTGCTGGGTGCTGAGGCTCCTACTGTACGACCGGCCACCACACCCACCTTCCCTGGCCAACCCCTCACCTCCTCTGGGGGCTGGGAGGAGGCAACACCAGAGGGAGAGGATGAGGCCTGGGTCCCCTGAACAGCAGCCACTGAGCAGCCCCTGCCCAGGAAGACGGAGAGCAGACTATACCCATCTGTCCGATTATGAAATCAAAGGAGGAATCCATGCCCCGGGTACAGCTATAATGGAGGTGAGTGACCACTGGGGACGTCTCCTGCATCCAGAGCTTCCAATCCTTCACCGATAGATCTAAGACACCCTCTGGGCATCAGCGTGCTGTCATCTGGAAGCTCCTGGCACTGGCTGAATGGAAGCTAAGAAATCTGGCAACACTTCCTTTGCATTTGGCTTGCTGATTCAAGGTGGCCAGGCCCTTCATGTTCTTGGGGAGAATTGCAATAAAACAGTTCCAAATGGCCCTTGAATAAAACCCTATTTACTTGGGTAGAGGAAGTGCTGACACATGAGTTTCAGAGCCAAGGGCTCAGCTCCCCGGGTAAGGGAGAATCCACTGCCAGGCTGGCCCCCAGGCACCTGCTTTACCTTCTGACAGCTGCTCCAGCTCCCAGCGTAGGTGGGCAGACTCCTCCACACTCTGCCCCTGTGCAGTCTTGAGGGCCATGTTCTCTTCCCACAGCTCCTCAAGGCATTTCTGGTATGTGTCCCGGTCCTAGTGCAGGAAGTGGGGGGGGCAGTGAGGATGTGGACTGGGGCACACTCTGGACAAGCCCCGGCCCCGTGCATCTGTCCTCATTCCCCCAGGATGAAGGGCCTCCATGCCCCTAGGGGATGAAGACACCCGAGGTCTCTGAGCGGTGTCTGAACAAAGTAACCTACAGCTCAGGGCTTTAGAGCAAGTGCTATGGTGACTGCAGCTCTGTGGCCCCTTAGAAGGCCTAATACCGTGGAAAGGCCATAGGGACTCACACATCACAGCTCAACCCACATCATAAACGCCGGAGGAGACCCTTTTTGCAACAGAGGCCCAATCTCTCCATCCTCACAGAAAAGCAACACAGCATCAGGCCCTCTCTGTGTTGGAGGCTTCAGTGGTGCCCACTCAAGCCACTGGGCTTAGCAAGTGACTCTCTTCCCTCAGAGGGTCACTGTGGTGGCAGCAGCACCGATCCAGTAGGTGAACATCAGAGAAGGGCACAACATGAACCTAAAATTGCCCCCATCTGTGTTACACGTGGTGACCACAGCTTGTCCTACCAATTGTAGGTGGTGCAGCTTCGATTTCAGCTGCACATTCTCCTCCTCCCGCTCGAATAGCTTATCAATCCAATACCGAATCCAATGCTCCTGGAGGTGGCCCTTGGTGTCCATTGAATAATCGTCTCCAGTCCGCACCTGGTCAGCAAGAACACACATGAGAGCCATCAGGTTAAGGCCCCTGGTCATGACAAAAGCTCTTCCAGTCACTGGACCCAAACCAACAACCTAGGGATGTCTCTGCTGCCCCAGAAAGTTCTGCCTCCACTTTTTAAAAAAAATATATTTTATTGATTTTTTTACAGAGAGGAAGGGAGAGGGATAGAACGTTAGAAACATCGATGAGAGAGAAACATCAGCCAGCTGCCTCCTGCACACCCCCCACTGGGAATGTGCCCGCAACCCAGGTACATGCCCTTGACGGGAATCGAACCTGGGACCCTTCAGTCCGCAGGCCGACGCTCTATCCACTGAGCCAAACCGGTTGGGGCTGTCTCCACTTTTGAGCCCCTGCCCTTCTCCATTAGGCCAGTCCAGATGGAAAAATCCCCGAAGCAAGACACTATTTAAATTCGGAAGGGAAGCTGAAACCGTTTTGGCTCAGTGGATAGAGCGTCGGCCTGTGGACTGAAGGGTCCCAGGTTCGATTCTGGTCAAGGGCATGTACCTGGGTTGTGGGCACATCCCCAGTGGGAGATGTGCAGGGGGCAGCTGATCGATGTTTCTCTCTCATCGATGTTTCTAACTCTCTATCTCTCTCCCTTCCTCTCTGTAAAAAATCAATAAAATATATTTTAAAAAATTCGAAAGGGAACACTGTCAGTGCCTGACATGTACAGCCTCGGTGGTTGGACGAGTGCACCTGCTGACAGGTGTGGGACTTGGCTGAGCCACTTTCTTAAACAAGGAAGGGGTGAGGCTGAGAGTCTGTCCTGGCTTTGAGGGCTGAGTCTAGGCCTCTCACAGTCACTCCACTGATCTGGGTCCAGGAACAAAATTCAGACGAGCTTTTGTTCAATACGCAGTTCCTATTGGAACATGTCACACACCTACTCTTAGAAAAACAACAGCTCTGGGCAGTTTCCCGGAAATGAGGGGTCTGTAAGACACAACAAGCAAACAAGTCTATGGCCTCTGTGTGCCAGGCACATGCTGGGGGTGGACACAATGGTTGGGCCCTCACAGGCCCCCCCACGGGAGGCGTCCACTGCACTTACTCCAGTGCCAGCACCAGGCACACACCGGGGAGCTGTTCAGCTCATTCCCCTCATTCCTGCTCCCACCCCCCGGAGAACTCCCAGCGCCACTCAGTCTCAGGAGGACTGAGTCTCCCCTGAATGCCCTCAGTCTGCGAGCACGCATACACGGGGACATGCCCATTTCTCCTGGCGGGCTGTTTTCCAAGGCTTGCCCCACTCACGGGTTCTAACACCTGGGAGCGGGCTGGAAGCTCCTGCTTATCCATCACGTGTTCATTTCCCCGAAAGGGCCAGAACCCTGGATTCTCGGTAGAGGGGAAACCGTGCACCTACCGCCAGTGGACACGGTTCTGGTCAAAGCCTGGCATCCGGAAGGGTTTGGTCACTGACTCTGGCTTCACCTGACGGCCCCCTCTCTCCCTGTCCCTGGCCCTGCACTAGGTGCTCTCTGTCTCTGCCACATTCACTCTTCACAACAGCCCCAAGAGGGAGGCAGGGACAGTCCCTTCCTACACACGAAGAGGCTGACTTGGGTCAATTAAAGAATGAGCCCCAAGTCACAAAGCCAGCCAGTGGCGAAGCTGGGCTTGAACTCAGGCTGGAGAGGTCCAGACCTGTCTCTTCACTGCCTCAGCAGGCTGCACTTTATCCTTAAGGAGCCGGCGGGGGTAAGGAACCCCGACTACTATCAGTGATGTGAGCCGGAGCACATGGAGGGGCTTCAACAGGAAGGAGGCCCAGCTCTCCCCCCTTGGCCACTGTCCCCAGCATTCTCATCTTGCGTCTACCCACCAGTACTCACCAGTATCACCATACTCTCAGGCCCTGAACTCCCATAGCAAAGCCTGCCTGGACATCCTTATAACCAACTCCTACTCAGCCTTCAAAACCCAGCCAGAATTGCCAGCTTTGAAAAGGACTTCAACTCCACTCTATCCCACCCACTGAGTCAGATGCTGGGGCACCCAGAGTGCCCAGTATGAGGCAACACTGAACTGGCCTGTCTGCCGCCCCCCCCAAGGCTAGTCCTGCAGTGCAGGACTATGCCACTCCTCTTCTCGTGGGGCCCCCAGAAATGTTCAAAGACACTTGTCAGCTGAATCACACCGTGAGGGGGAGTCAGAGGCACCATGTGAGTTGGGCCCTGAAGGACCTGGGGAAAGGCAGGGATGGACAAGTGTCCAGAAGCAGAGTACAGCGTGGAACTAAATGATTTATAGCTACTCTTCCAATGGGACTCAGTTTTCTGGGGTTGTCAACCTTCCCATGGATCAGGCAGCAGAAACATCTAAACCTGCTTTGCACACCCACCACCCAGAAGTGAGAGACAAGACCCCGAGAAGCTGTGCCCGAGTCCTAAAGTGGCAAAGGCTGGGCCTGGAGGAGGCAGAGAGTGTGAGACCACCGGACCCACGGTCCGATCTTAAACCCAGCTCCTACCTGCCTTGCCACCACCTGCCCTGCCCCTCCCTGCACGATCGCAACCAGGGGCACCATCTGTGGACAGAACTTCCCGTAATAAGCTCACTAGAAACGTGTTCCTATCGACGCCACCCGGTGCCAGGGCACGAGGGGATGAGAGGCACCTGGACCGCCTCTCCTGTGATGGACGGGACAAGGCTTGCTCCACACCCAGCAAGTGGAGTGAGAGCTGGGACTCGCCTGCGGAGCCTCCGCCGCCTCTGGGAGCAAGCCCTGCCCAGGAAGCTAAGTACCCATCCCTCTCTGAGGGGCAGAGACAGGCCCCGCTGACCCTCAGCTGCTCAGGACCCTCAAGGCACCCACATGTCTGCCCCTGGTAGCGGGAATTTCAGCCAAGGACAAAGCATGGGACCAGAGGGACCTCCCAGGCACTCTCTCTCTGCCTCTGTCCTCCACCCCGGGCCCTGGGAGCAGAGGTGGGATGAGTGTTTGCAGACAGAGTCAAGGATCACCCGGTGCACCCCCACTTCCCAGGTGTGCCTAGGGGCGCCCAGGCCTGTCTCCTCGGGTTGTGGCACTACCACCCTCCCCTTTTATGTGTTTCGCAGTGGCGACACTGGACGGGCTATTGGGGAGGGCACCCAGGCCATCTGTGGCTCCCCCTGTACCCATAGGAGGGCCCCACATGGTGGGTGTCCACGTGACAGTTGTGCTCGGCTCTCTGCTCCGCTGCCCATCACACCTGACACTGTCACCGTCCGAAGGAGACAACACCTCTGATTCCCCCGTCCTGCTCCCCAGGTTGCAAGTCTTTTCATGCTGAGATGGGATTTACTTGACGTGTGTGGTCACTACCAAGTGCCTTGTGTGTGCCAACCCCAGGCATGCAGTCAGACAGGCCCCTGCCCCTGCCCTCAGGGGATCGAGCTGCACACAGTAAACCTGGCCCAGCAGGGCTGACGGGAGGCTGCGCACAGCCTGCAGGGCTGTTGGCACCACTGTGATGTAAGCGTGCAGGTGCAAGCTCTGTCCTCTCGGCTCCTTGGGCCTCGGCACACGGGCCTTGGAGAACAGTGTGACTCATCCTCTTTGTGGCCTGGCCTCAATGGACCACTCTGTTTCTCTTGTAATTCATTTACTAATGCAAAGTGTAAAGCATTACTAATTTCACAGCAAAATTATTAATCGACTAGAGGCCCGGTGCATGAAATTCCTGCTGGGTGGGGTCCCTAGGCCTGGCCGGAGATCCAAGTGCGAGCATCTGCCGTGGAAGGGCAGGTCACAGCTGACCTCTGGACTCAGGGCAGCATCTGGGCCCCTGGCCCCCGCACACCCCCCTCACCCCCACACCTGAGTCATGGTACCCAAGTCTCCACACAGAGATGAGGTGAGCATGGCCAGACACTGCGGCCGGAGAGCAGTGTAGGCCTCTGGTCTGCCCAGTGGTGTCCCCCAGAAGCAAGGAGAGCAGCATGCTCTCTCCTGGCTGGCCTTGCAGACCAGCTCCTGCTCAAACCCACCAGGAGCCCAACAGGCCCCTGTGGTCCTGGCTGCTGTGGCCTGGCTCACCTTAACAAGTTTGTGCGGGTGCAGGGTGGGCTCCTCCTAGGCACCCAGCACCTGAGCTCAGGGGCTTCCCTGGTGGGCGAGCCCTGGTGTCCCAGGGAGGGATGCAGGGGAGTGAGAACGAGCTTGCATCCTTACAGCACCTCCATCCCTGTCACCCCCGCTCCAGGTTAGCCAGCGAGAGGTCACAGTGCATTGCCAATGCCAGCAATGTTCCGCGCTGCGCCCTGATGGCCAGCACATGTAATAGCAAGCAGTCGAACTCCTGGCCTCCCTGTGGAACTCCCATCCAAGGGGACAATTTGCATATTAGGCTCTTATTAAATAGGATATTAAAAATGTTGCTGCTGCTATCCAGAGGCACACACCTTGAGAACACGGAACAGGGTTCCCACGGGAAACCCTGCAAAAGCCCAGAAGCTCCCCAGTGCCAGGAGCGAGTCTTGCTTTGTGTTAGATCCCCTGCTCCTGGCGCAGGGCTTGGTGCCACACAGGCCTTCAGTCACTGCGTCTGCATGACTGAGCGACGCTGCTTGGACAGGCCCGGAAAAGACACGGAGACAGGGGCAGAGCCCTGAAACCCACACCATCCACGGGGCAGAGTGTTGGCTGACATGTGGGGGCTGCCTTAGGTCCCCAGTGTGCAGGAGGCAGTGGAGGCCGCAGCCTGGGGAAGCTTGCACATGACCTTCCGCAACCCTCCTACCTGAGAGTGAGGGTGCCCTTGTCGCACACCTGTCTATGCTGCAGATTGATGCCCTTCATCACCAGCAGGGCCAGGGGACCATTTCCAGGACAAAGCAGAGAGCTGGCCCCCACCCCCACCCCTCCAGGGCCGGGCTGCTAGGGCACAGCACCCAGGGTGCCTTCTCCCCAGGGGACAGAGCAGTGAGCCACCAACATTCCTGTGGGAACAGCCATTCCCTGAGTAGGTGGGAGGAGCAAACACGCCTGAAAGAGAGGGTCCTGAACTCACTGCTCACGTGAGGCAGTTGGGTGCATGGTCAGAGCGTCAGTAACCATGTCTGGGTCTTGGTCTCGATCCCCCCTCAGCCCTGACACCCTGCTCTGAAAAGACCCATAACCTTGGAATTTAAGTAGGCTACACCACAGAGAACTTAATATGGAACTTGCCCAAATACCAGGTGTTTTACCTCTTTCATTGTATAAACCTCACGGACAAGTACAGTTATCTCTGTTTTATAGATGAGGAAACAGTCCTGGTAAGATTTAGTCATAGAAATTACAAGGAGTCTTAAAGAAAAAGATTAGTGAATAGAAGGTCATCATTGTGGCATGAAGGAGGAAGAGGAAAAGTCCTAGAAGAATCAGGGCCTTTCAACCACATTCCCAACCCTGTTCCTTCCACTATCAGAGGGAGCCCAGGGGTCGTGTGGACAGGCTGTGGTGCAAGGAGAGGGCCAACTGGGGAGGCATTGCCGCCCCTCTCCCCGCTTCCAGGACACAAGTGCCCGCGGGCTGCCTGCCCCTGCTGGGCTCACTTCCATGCGGCTGCATAGAAGTCTATGTCTTTCTCCTTCTGCCTGAGGCCCATCAGCTCCATCTCCAGCCTCTCCATGAGGTTAACCTTCTTCCTCAGGGAGTCCAGCTCAGGGAGGGGGGCACGAGCAGCCTGGGCAGTGGCCGCCAGCTCCATGTTCTGGGAGGTAGGCAAAGGCAGGGGACCTGGCTCAGGGCACCCTCAGGGCTGGGGAAGGCCCAAGTCCCTGCAGCCCCAGGAGAAGCCAGGGGCGGCCAAGCTGGTCCATGTGCAGGCCCATGTGTGGGGGTCCCACATGCTGTCACTGCAGCATGTCACCCCACAGCAGCTCCCAGGACAGCTGGCTCTCAGGCAGCGCTGCTTTGAGCAGGAAGGAGATGTGTCCCAGGTCACATTCCTGGACCTGGGGCCACAGTGACTGGGGCGTCCTAGCCCCCCACCCCAGGCCCACACAATAGGCCTCCTGCTCACATTGTGCCGGGTCTCCTGCAGCTCCAGCACTAGCTGGTACAACTGATGCCTGGTGTCCGACAGCTGTTTCGTCTTCTCCTCCCTGGGGGCGATGAGAACACGTGGTCAGGGCTCCTCAGAAGCACCCGGAAAGCCCACCACCTGGGAGACCAAAGTGGGGAAGGAGGGGGTCCTGGCTTCTAGGCGTGAGGAGGGCGTCTACACATGGGGCTACAAAAATGCTCTGGAGCCGAAACCGGTTTGGCTCAGTGGATAGAGCGTTGGCCTGCGGACTGGAGGGTCCCAGGTTCGATTCCGGTCAAGGGCATGTACCTGGGTTGCGGGCACATCCCCAGTGGGAGATGTGCGGGAGGCAGCTGATGGATGTTTCTCTCTCATCGATGTTTCTAACTCTCTATCTCTCTCCCTTCCTCTCTGTGGAAAATCAATAAAATATATTTAAAAAAAATGCTCTGGAGTCCAAGGTGAGCTTTAAGTTGTCACTGCTGCTCTCAGACTTCACCACAGACCTGAGCTTTCCTCTGAGGGTGCAGACAGGGAAGGAGCCCCCAGAGCCACTGCTCCCTCCACAGCCAGGCAGGCAGGGAGGTGAAGGCAGGCAGCTTCCCAGATACCGGGAATGGTGCCATCACCAGCTGCAGGAAAGGGGGAACAGGACCACAGGACAGGACGGAGAGACACATCCTCCCTCCAGCCAAGAGCACCCACACTGGGCCCGAGGTTGAGCGGCAGGCTGCTGCTCTGAGTCTGCCATGTCTGGACTGGCAGGAGCCCTAAAGGCCCAGCAGAACCCTGCTGTGCAGGCCTGGGGAGGGGAGAGTGTGGGCTAGCCCAGGGCCCAACAGGGACCCAGCTCAAAGCAGAGCCCAGTCACTCCAGGGCACTGTGAGAGCTGCCCCGTTTGCTGCACCGCATGGCAGTGAACCACATGTGCGAGCAATGGGTGGTGACACATGGCACAAGAGCAGAAAGATCAGGGTCACTGGGGAACTCACAGCTCCTGCCTGACGCCTCTCAGCGTGGCCTTGGTGTCCGCCAGCTCCATGGCCAGGTGCTGCTTGTCCTCGCTGGGGCGGATGCTCGTGTTCCACTCCTGGGTCATGGTCACGACCAGCTACAGCAGGGCAGACAGGGGGTCTCACTGGCGTGCTCCTGTGCCCGGCACAGTGCCCGCACTAGAACGTGGTGAAGAATGACCAAAAGATGGAAGAAAGTAAAAGAGAAAATGGCAGCCGAGACTGCAAAGCCAGGAAGGAGGCAGGAGAAAGTGGGGGAGTTTTTAAGAAGCGAGGATATATTTAGTGAGACAGAAGGGCCCAGTGAATGGAGCAGGCTCCCCAAGCTCAACCTCTGTCCTCACACAGGTGTCTCAGGGGACTGTGCCCTGCAGGGAAAGTGCCCACGTCCTGCCCCCATGAAAATGGGCCAGGAGGACAGACAGTGTGCAGCTTGAGAGGAAGTCAGAATGAAGAGCGCGGCCATAACTAGGCCCCAGACCCAGGCCCCTCCCCACCGTCCCCCAGGCTGTTGGGCTACCCACAAACACACCTTCCTGCAATGGTCTTGCTCAATTAAGACCCTCCTGAGGCGACAGATCATGTTGGTGGAGAGGTACTCCACCTCCTCCAGGGCCATGTCTGGGACCTCCAACCACTGCAGGTCCAACAGGCTCTCCTGGTGGCGGGTCACCTGAGGGCACACAAGGGTAAGGTGCTGCGGAGGCCGGGAAGGGAGCAGCGGAGGGTCCCTGAGAGCACCCACCTCCCAAGCCACGCCCCCTGGGACCTAGGCCCACTCTCCCACAACTAACCCACCTCACTGACATTATTAACCCTCAGCCACCAAGTTCCTGTGGGGGGCGGGCAGGCTCCTCAGCAAGTGCAGCCACACTCTGCGGCCGAGCTCTTTCCTCACACACCACTGCTGCTGTCACACTAGCTCAAGGAGGACACTGACTTCCCACCAGACAGCACTCCTCCCAGTGTGGGAGCTCCCTCAACTGTCCCAGGGATTGCAGTCGCGTCCATCCATGTGTCACACAAAGAGGGTAAGCCTTGGGAGGGGAGGGTCAGGAGGGATAGCATCTTATTCTTCAAATAAAATCTAACGCGAAGATGGCAAAATATTAGAGCGCTTATGTCAGAAGGTTGGGTCCATGACAATCTTATTTTTTGAGGAAACCTTTCACAACCTGAAATACTTCTCAGGTGAGCCTGGATCTCATCCCCACAGGCCACACAGGACCACCTGGTTCCCCCTTTCTGCGGGTGTGAGCGCAGGCCCACGGCCTCATCCTCACTGGGCAGCCTCTCTTCCAACTGCCGACATCACCTCCTTCAACCCAGCGACATGCCCTTGACAGGGAATCAAACCTGCGACCCTTTGGTGGGCAGTCCAACACTCTAACCACTGAGTCAAACCATCTAGAGCCTGGACCCGCAGCCTAGCCCCCTGGCAGGAGCAGGTGAACTCATCTCAGTCCAGGGCTGGAAGCGCCAGGGGGTCCTGCACCTGGTGCATGGGCTCCAGAGTAGGAAACCCCTCAGGGCCCCAGGCCAGGACCCCCTCCACCAGTTTGAAAACCTGTGAAGACCCCTGAGTCCCAGGACTGCCAGGGCCCAGGCGGGTGGGGTCTGTGGAGACCTTAGGGTGGTGGGAGAGGAGCCAGGGCACCCACAATGGGACAGGGAGTCAGGTGTACTCACCCCCGCCACCAACGGGCTCTGTAGAAAGAGCTCCATGAGCTCTCGGACAGTAACGTCCATCCTGAGGCTGTGTCCACCGTCCATTGCTATGCACACAGGCTCTGGGCCCACCGTCTCTGTGCCCACCAGCTCTGTGCCAAGCACTGCCAACGGCTACTCGTCCCACATTCCAATTGGCTCCTCACCCCACATTCTAAACTGCTATTTGCACCACATTCTAAACTGCTATTTGCTCCACATTTGAAAAAGGCTCTTTGCCCCAAATTCTAAACGGCTCTTGAGCCTGTATTCCTAACTGCTCTGGGCCCCTTATTCCAAAGGGCTCTAGTAGGGAACACAGCTGTGTCAGGGGCTGTGGCAGCTCCCTGTCAATGATAAGTGCTTTGGAATACACAAAAATGATGACACACTCCCTATGAAATTTAAAATCTTTCTGGGCACATGAAATATGAGGAAATATAAAAGGTCTATGTCTACATCCTATGTACTTTAAATGTAAATTAACCACTTCAACATAATTTTGCCAATCTCCATTTTTAATTATTTTTTCCACCAGCCAAATTGCAGAAATTTGATCAGTTCCTTTGAAGTAACCATTCATTTTATTTTGTTAAGTCTGACCTAGTAGCTCAGCTTGGGAGTTCTCTTGACCATCACAGTAAACGGAGACCCTCCAGTTAGTAGTTCATACATTACAACACCTAAACCCACCAGTCAGCTGCCTACAAAGGATTTGATAGAATATTAACTAGTAAGTAATTTAGAGGAAAGAAAAATGAACAAAATAAAGCTGCATATTTGGGAAATATTTGAACAAAAAGAGCCTGTGCATAGCTTTCTGGGCAAGGAGCATTAAACCAGCACATGCAAGAAAGACATTTAGAGAATAGATATGCAGGTATGTCAGAACAAATTTAAACATCTAGGCTGTCCATCAATGAACTAAAAGTGTTTAATTATTTTCTAAACTAGTAATGGTTTTATTTTGGTTAACTAAAAAATTTATTTTGATTTAAAATAAATTTAATTTTTTTAAGTAAATGAAATCTTTGGACTTATGATAGAGGGGGGACAAAGTACCAATTAGCATTTTTAGTGACTATCCAGCTCCAATAAATATTACAAATTCCTTAAAGTCAAAGAACAAAAATGAAAAAAAAGCCCACTTACAGGTGTTATTTTTTCATAATCACCTAAATCAATTCCTCTTATAGAACATTCCAAAAATCTAACAGCCTTCATTTGTGGGAAGCATGATGAGATTTAAAATAATGCAAAACAAAATGTGATCTAAATGGGAAATAAATTTATAAATGTAGTTACCTGAACTGAGAACACAGCAAATTACTCATAACTTAGAGATTCTTGATATATTGAAAATTACTTCTTTTATGATTATGCAAATCAGGATTTGAATAACGGTTGACTATATGAGCTTATGCCAATGAGATATTAACTGGATGCTAAAATTTTAAACTCTCTGCTTCCAAATTTCAGGGCCAAGGTTTCAGAGAAATGCAGCAAAATTTATGGGACTAGAACTGTTTTAAAGAAAACACGTAACAGTGACTTAGAAAACAGGGTCAGGCAGACTGAAACCACAAGAGTGCGTGCAAGCCAGGCACAGTGATGAGCACATTGCACACATTATCGCTCATTCAATCAACTCAAAGGCCTCAAGGTGTCCCATCTACTCTCAATGACTTAGCTGAACTTTGGACCTCAGGTATGCAGAAATTCTAGGAGGAATATAAGGTTTTCTTTCCTGAAACCCGGTTCCATGCCCTGGCTGCTGTGGCTCAATGTTGGCTGGAGCATCATTCCATACACTGAAAGGTTGTGGGTTTGATTCCAGTCAGGCCATATACCTAGGTTGTGGGTTCAATCCCCAGTCAGGGTGCATATGGGAGGCAACCAATCAATGTTTCTCTCTTACCTCAGGGTGCATATGGGAGGCAACCAATCAATGTTTCTCTCTTACCTAAATGATGATTCATTCTCATTCTCCTCTCTCTCTTCTCTCTCTCTCTCTCTCTCTCTCTCTCTCTCGTTAGGATGAAAAGAAAATTGGAGGTTAGGATGAAAAGAAAATTGGTTCTATTAGATCTTAGAAAACTTAGAAAGTAATTTTCAATTTTTAGTAGACTCGAACTAAACCAACAATTCAGTTATTTTATTTATACAAGCAGTTTTACTTAAACCAACAATTCAGTTATTTTATTTATACAAGCAGTTTTACTGCCATCTGAATCAGACCCTCAGAATGTTCTGCTGTTGGATTGGAAATCAAGAGATATAGCTCTACAATCAGATTCCTAGTTGTGAAAAGTTGAATAATAGTCTTTAAACATATGATGAGTCATTAGCAAACATCTCTACACTTAAGATATGTGGAAATTACATGTGGGATTTTGCAAGGGAATGAGGAAGAGGGAAGGTGAGAAACAAAAAATAGTCAGAATCCCTTACTTGGAGAAAGTTATTAAAAAGCAAAAGTGTTAACAACTGGACAGCCCAAACTGGTTTGGCTCAGTGGATAAAAAGTCAGCCTGTAGAGTGAAGGATTCCTCCCAGGTTTGATTCCAGTCAAGGTCATGTACCTTGGACACAGGCTCGATCCCCAGTAGGGGACGTGAGGAGGCAGCTGGTTGATGTTTTTCTCTCATCGATGTTTCTAACTCTCTGTCCCTTTCCCTTCCTCTTTGTAATATCCATAAAATATATATTTTTAAAAAAAGATGAAGAACTGGACAGGTGTGTATCCTTTCATTCATGAAATAAAAATATGTGACCTAGATTTTACAACATAATTACTTAGAAAGCCTCTTCCCAGACTTCATTTTGCAAATACAAAGAAAGTGGGACCAAAAAATTGAGCTCTTTAGAGCAGCGGTCGCCAATCTTTCGGACCTCACAGACCACCAGTGGTCTGCAGGCCACCGGTTGGGGACTGCTGCTTTAGAGGGCTTAGGAAAACAGAGACTATCTTGGATTTTCATTCTCCAAGGAGTGTTACAGTGATTATATCTGTGGGAGAGATAATCAACAAAGTCTCCAGTATATCTACAAAGTTAAAAGCTCAATTGGAAATAAAAATAGGAAAGATTCCCTTTTCAATTCCCTCTTAGAAAGCAAATATCAACATAAGGTGACACAGCCAACTATATGTCCCATGTATTTTTCTAACAAAAATCAATAATGCCAGCGCTGTCCAAAATCATCAAGCTCTACTCACACAGGAGCAGTGGACAGTCTGTGCATTCATTCAGTGACACCTCTGCACTGCGCTGTGGCTCAGCTGAGTGCTAAAAGAGCAGGTCCCATGCAACAGAAAATGAATGATTTTGGTTTTATATAGAGTTACCACTGGTGCTTTGCTCAAGATACAGATCCTTTTCATGCAAATTACGTAAAAATTATTATATGGAGAAAAAAATGGCGGAGGCTTAGACGAACGTGTCGGTGCCTTGTCCCGGAGCAGATAAGGGTGAGCAGCTGAAACGGGTAACAAACAGCCCGAACAAGCAGAGTAGATTCAGCTGAGAGACGGTCTGCAGCCAGGAAAGACAGAGAACTCCTAGGAAATGGGGATGGTTAGGGATTGAGGCTGAAACCTCCCCTGGGCACCAGCTCAGCATCGAGACCACGCCATCTTGAGTAGCTGTTATCCGCATCCAGAGATCGGCTACTAACCCAGAGGCAACGGCTCTCAAGCAGTGCAACTACATGAACTCAGAGGAGACCTGCTTCCCTCCACGGAAAGGTTAGACTTCCCCCAAAGGTGCGGTTTGCAATTCAGGTTGGAGCGAGGAATGCGCGCCCCCCAAATCCACGCCCATAGAGGCGAACGTGACCCGCAAGTTGGGAGGGCTCCCGCAGGGCTGCTGGCAGAAGGTAACACTATAAATAAGGCCATAGTTGGACTGGATGCAAAGAAGCAACCTCAGATTCTCCTAGGTAGTGGCTACTTGGTGCCAGGGGCCAGAGCGCGCACAGAGACTCAGCGCAGTTCTGGAAGGTGGAGCCCTGCGAGTTTGCACAGCTTCCCAGGCTCTTGTTTACACACTTCCTCTTAAATCTGTGAGTTTGATTGTTGATCCCAGTGCATGTGATTGCCCAGTTGGGGTCGCTAGCAGAGCTTGTAGGGGAAGATTGTTTTTGGGGAGCCTGGGAAACAGAGCTGGGAGTGGCGCCTGGGGAACCAGCTCTGGGCGGAGCTGGTTCAGGTACAATAGAGAACTCCTGGTCAGAGAGAACTTATAGCCTCGGAGGTCAATCCAGACACACTGCCACCCAGAGGCAGAGCCATGAACTGACTCTTCTGTAAATACAGATAAGGCAGTAAGGGGAACCAATACGGCCTGCCTTAAAATCAGGACTGTGGCTTACAACACGGAGGAACAGTGTATCAGAGGGAAATTCAACATTCTCCTGAATTCCGGGCGTGCCAAAAAAGAAGAGTAGCAGATCTGAAGCACCTGCATTACTGCACATTTTTATTTTTTTAAATTACATTTTCACCTTTTAACTAAGAAAACATTTTTTTCTTTTCTTTTTTTCCCCATCACCTGATTTTACCCTTTCAACTACTACATTTTTATTTTTAACTAGTATTATTACCGCTACCATTTTATCATTTTTTAAAGTGTCATTTTATTTTGTCTTTATTTTATTTTGGGACTAATGTTCTCCATTCTATTTTCATCGCTCCTTTAGCAACATTTTTCTCTACCTCAATTTGCCTCTGTGCTAAACCCTCTTCCCCACTTTTTCCCTTTTGTTGTCCTGTATCTCTTACCCTACTCCAGCTTTAGATTTTCCCTATTCTTTTTACCCGTCAAAATTTCACCCTACTTATATATCCTACGTCCAATCCCCTGCTCTAAATCCTTATACACCTTTCCCTTATCTTCCTTCACTATCCAAATTTTTTTCTTCTTCTTCTTTTCTCTCTCTATTGTTTTATTATTGTTTGCTTGATTGACGAGTATATTGGGGTTTTTTTTTAGGATTGTTTGTGAGGTTAGTCTGCTTATTCTTTTTATTTTCCTGCCCCTCCCCCCTCCGGTTATTTCTGTGCTTCT